TTGAAAGTATATGCATAGTAAATTTGTTCAGTTGATAAATAGCATAAAAAACACTTACAATGAGGGAACTAGACACATACCTCCAAGCACACATAGCAACCTCAAAATACTAACTTATGACTTAATAACTTCTCATCAAACCAGGCAGAAAATGTAGTGACAGTATCAGTAAATAATATTTCAAGAAATGATCATTTTAATAAATGGTGGTTCTTTGGTAGAGCTGTCAATCTCGTTCCACATATCCAGGCCCTGACACACTGCACTGAAGCTAGTGCTCCTCAACTTCCACTTTGTCATCTCTTATCAGTATTATTAGTTAAGAACTTCAAATCTTTTAATTAAAGTCTTATTTGATGTCTGTGGAGTATAGGAAATATGATGGAGGCTTGTAACAAACCCCCTCAAGTAGAACTGATTCAATGGCACAGAGGTCGACAATAAAGGGAGTTTGTTTTATCCACCAATTTATAGAGAAAGTATTAGATCCATTTGTGCACACGTTTTGTTCGGTTCTGGTCTGCTTGTATCCAGATTTCAAAGTCATAATCAAAAAATTCTTTCTCATTTTCAAGTTAGGTTTCATCACATCTGCAATCTTTTCTTTATAAAGGAAGTAACCTAATGCTAGATCTATTTGGACTCATTGCAGTTTTTTTCTTAAGCATTTATTTATTCATTCAAACTATTGACATATGAAAAGAGCATAACAAACAGACCAAAACATGCATAAAATTTCATATTTATCCCTTTGCATTTTGCTGAAATGGTGTTTTTGTTCTTGGAGGGTATAACCCCCCATCTGCCTCAGTAAACATGCCTGCCAAACATGCTGTCAGACGTGTTTGCGTGTTGCTGACACGAACACGCAAGATCTACAGTATTGCTAGATCTGTGCAGCTGACAAGGCAGCTCTGAGGTCAGCCAGACATCTTTCTTCATTTCAATGAAGGTGTCAAAGGAGAATTTCGAAACTGAGTTAATTTTAATATGGTTTAACTCTTTAACCATCCTAAACTGTGGTTCATGCAAACCAACATTCCTTGAAGGTGATACCTGAACAGGTTGGCGATGAAGGGCGAGGCAGAAGGTACAGATGTGGAGGGCTGTTGTATAACACTGCGGCGAGTGTGGAGGTTGTGTGTGTGTTTGGGGGGCGGGGGGCTCAGGGCGTGGCTCCTGTGTTTGGAAAAATGATTTGTGGTCACTCAGCTTTCTCTCTAATCGTAGGTTTTACACATTCTGTTCTTCTGCACAAAATATGAACAGTGATTTGGTTTGGGGGTTTGGATGAAATAATTGGAAATTGACTGCAACAGAGTAAGGATACAAAAATCAACCCTCTGACAGCTTTTCTTTACAGACAATGATTTAGCTTTAATAGCAGTCAGTTAACAGACAACTTGCTTATTAAACAGACTGAAATTAGAAGATGATAATGCAGTTCTGCTCTAAGTAATAGCTGATGTAGACCAACTGACAGACTTGGAAAAAATTTGCAAAAAGCCTAAAATATGTTTATAGATTGTTCATATATGCAATTTCCTACTTTTTAATGCAACCTTTGAATAATATTTCATACTGAAGGAAAAACAAATAAAAAAATATATAATTACTATTAACAAAATCGCTTTTAGTACCATTAATAACATCTCATCAGAGAGTATCTTATTTATGCCCCTTTTTTTTAATTGGGCAGCAGTTTTGTTTTATAAGATTTTACACGTTTAGACCATATAAAAAGAGACCTCTCAGACCATGCCTTAAGTCCTGGATTTCATCTTATGTCCATTCTTCCTCTTTAAACCTCTTATATTGTATGATTTAGGTTTGGGGACTGAAAATGAATGAATTCTTGCAGAAGTTTATAAAGTTGTATTGCAGATGCATTGAACTCTGATTCAGTTCACTGAACCTATGGAGAACAAACCGGCAGACAGCATCACAGATACCAGTTTGATGAGTTTTCATTTCATTAGTTTGAAACAGCCACCTGCAGTGCTTTGTTCTTGATAATCTCGATCTGCACTCATTTGACTTAAGTAGACAGTCCTGTCATCTTTATATGTGTAGATGACCCATATGTGTTGAAGGAAGGAGAAAGCATGCATCCTGTTGAGAATATGACAGTATTTTTTATAAAAACAGTGAGCAGCAATGTAATTTAAATAAAAGCAAAAAAACAAACACACAAGGAAATGACAGAGTCCACAAAAGATGATCGAAAAAACAACAATTATAAATTAGCCAAAAAACATGTTTAAATACAAGGCAGATTAAATTGGTACGTTAATTACTTAGCCACTCAAAACTATTTGAATATAAAATTAACTGCTAATGCGCCTGAACTTTGAATGATTTTTTTCAAAGTGTGTTTGCCAAAGTTTTAGTGAAAAATTATTTTCAGATGTTTATGAGGCTTTCCGCACCGATATGTGTTTAGGATTATTTGGTTTTGTGTGTCTTTTCAAGTAGGCCTGCAACTAATGATCATTTTGCTAACTGATTAATTTGTTTGATTATTTTTATTATCACTTAGCAAAAGCTGCCTTACAGAAGTTTTTTTTACAGAATCTAACAC